CGCCTGTAGACTATAGGTTATGAAGCTGTTGTGTAATGGTTTCGGGAGAGAGGTCAAAGGTCAAATGGAAGTCCACGTCACCCCCGGTTGGTGTCAGGTGTGCTTGCTTTCCCTCGTTGTGACGGACCGAGGATTAGCCTGATTGTAAGTGAGGTAACCTCCTCCCCACTGACAACAATTAAAATCAAATCAGCACATCTTTCAATGCCTTTGTGTTTATCGTTTATGAGTGCAAAAAGTCAGGAAAATCAAGTAATGGAGTAGTGAGGGTTAGGATTCTGGCTTGTGATTGGAAGGTTGCCGGTTCAAATCCTGTGATTGGCAGAGTGATGTCACCATTGGGCCTTTTGAGCGTGGCCCTTCTCCCCATTGGCCCCGGGGACTGCCTATCCCTGCTTTCACAACTGCATGTCACCTCGGATGAAAGCCCTTTAGACGATGCAACAATGCTTTAGTTTTTCAGCCTGACGTGCTGCCGTTACTCGAGCTCTTCCCCAGCTTGGAAAGGCAACGCCTCCACACAGACTGGCCATTGGGCAGGCATGCATGTGCTACATACTGTATGTGTTTGTTTAACAGTAAGACTGAAGAGGAATATTGTAAATACAGTTGCAGCTACATGAACAGGTTTTTAAAAGAAAATCGTCAGCCAGATGTTATGCATATTTAACTGTTAATTTGACCAGGGCAGACATCACTAATCAATCGATGCACTGCTGCGGTGTCCATGATATTAGATAGTTTTAGATAACACCATTTCTGAATCATTTTGATGTGGCCTTCTATAAAATTAAAGCCTTATCTATTAAAATTGAGCACATGATGTTACCCAGCAGGCTGTGTGAAGCGTGACTGATGGGACCTCGATTCCCCTGTAACCAGCCTGACGACCCGCAGTCACTCCGAATCTCCACTTCCTGCGAGCTCTCTCTCATCCGCTTACTCACTTTGCTGCAGATGGAATGTGGATCATCATCCTGGTTACGCTGCTTTTACGGCGACGGCCAAAGGCGGCATGTGTGCAGAATGTGAGAAAAACAGAAAAGTGATGACAGTTTAACATACTGTCTCTAAACTTCCCTCCAAAACATTTCTGATCTTCTTTGTAGTCTAGCAGAATATTGTTTTAATTTTTTTTATGACGAGAAGTTAAAAATGATGATTATGTAAACGGGCTTTAGGGAAACAACTCGGCAGCAGAGTCCGGTATGAAAAAGATCCCTTTTCACCTTGACCTCAGGCCTCGAGTTGTGCAGGCTTTTTGTGTTTCGCTGGATTTCACCACCCACCCTGTTTATTGCCATACGTTCTGCCCTGTTTTTATCTCTTACGACGTCTTGTCATGCCGTTGTGTGGCAGCCTTGGCCGGGTGGAGGGGGGGGGGGGGGGCAGAGGATCTATGTAGTCATCTTGAATTTCGCTGTTCTGAGTGGGCTAACTTGTCCCAAAACTGGTTGTTCATAATCTTCTTCGTTTCAAGTCAGAGACTAAACTGCACAGAGTGCAGACCCAGATCCAGGGGTGACGGTCGTCATTCTCGCACGACACAACGCAGAATTAGAACGAGCCGCACGGGCCATGAACATCGCCCCCGCTAGACTTGTACAAACAAAAATTGAAAGAAATTTACTTTTGCAGAGCTATAGTTGCAGATTTGATTTGTGGATGCCCCAGCACTATAGCATTTGTGGTTTCAGATAACTAGAACTATGCATCTCCGAGCAAGTTTAACCCATGCTTTTCATCATTGCCTAGAACAACTAATCTCTGTAACTGAAAAACTGATACAGTCAAGATACATACAAAGCAAACAGTTGCTTTTTATGATACTGCTGTTCGCAGGTGTAGATCTCTTGTCTGATAAAAGAATTTAAGTTACTTTTTTACTGCTTTGACTTGGCATGACTTGTGAATTATTTACAAACATTGCATTTAATTACTGGCCCTTACTGCCAAGTCTGGAACAAAACTGGGAGACTCACGTGTCCCACACAGAAGACTGGAATGGAACGTAAAACGCGCAGAGCACAGTGGTACGTCCCCAGCCTCCATGCTGCGAGATGACAAAATAGGGGTGGAGTGTTCCAAGGGACGGTCTTCAGGGTGAGGAAGCAGAATTAGCCAAACAGTTTGGGGTTACAGTTCTTCAAGGTGAGATAGAGAGTAATAGGACCAAGGGATTAGTACCACAGTGACGACCATCCTGGTGACATATTTTACACCAGCAGTAAAAACACGGGACAAAACAGGATCTCATATGTATAAATAAGGAACATATAAGAAAGTCACATATAACTACAGATGAAATTTTATCACAAAAGTACAAGGACTGACTGATCCAGGCTTCCTCTTGTAAACAATTCTGCTTCAAAGTGGTCTGATGGAGTCGCAGTCTGAGAACTTCATCAGCATTCCACCACATGTGAGCATCACATCAGCCAAGATATTTTTGATGTCACGCTACCAACTCAAGAAGATTCTTCTGGATATGTTTTGAAGGCAAGGGTTCAATTACCTTCAGTGCAAAGCAAAACAACATCTTCCATGCACCCCCCCCCCCCCCGGGTTTACAAAATAAAAGGAGAATCGTTTATTCCTACAGTCCACTTCTAACTTGTTTTGCCTTTCATGTCCCAAGGTGGTAGATATATGCTTATCAACTGTGAATATGTGTTAAGATCATTCTTGTCAGCTAATTCAGACATCCATATTATCTTCTAAGTTACTGTATTTTTGTGACTCGCTGGTTATGCATCATCAGAGCATCATCTTCAATCAATAGGGACTATGAAGTATTTTGGCATTTTCGGAAGTGTTGCCTTGGATATTCACCAATGACAGAAGACTAAAACATATTCTGATATAACAGTTCACTGAAACTGAACATTGTATCTTCTGTTTAGAAAATATGTAAGACCTTTTGCACTATGCAAAAAGTGAAACACTAATTAGTGTGTAAGGTTTCCTTTCAAAAGAAAAATGTGCGAGCATTAACTAGTAACTTGTAAGGCGGTGGCATTGCGTGTCTGGGAAATGAAAATATAGTGGTATCGTTTCCTAAGAGTTTGTTTCAACAGAATTTGTTCTTTTTTCACGGCCGCAACCACTTCCGGCTAGGCAGATCACTCCACACACACACACACACGCACATCGAAAGCAGCCTTAACCACAGGTGTTGTTTAAGTAGTGAAAAGCAGAGAAGAAAAATACCACGAAGAGAAGTTACTTTTGGCAGCTTGGCAATTCCACCGGCAGTGCTGCACTAACATTGAAAGGAATAACTGTCGAAATAAGTGCAAGAAAAGTCAAAGCCAACCTATTCTTTGTTACTACTTGTGCATTACGTTTGCAGATATTTAAAGGCGTCACATTCTGGTGTCTGCAGCAAAAAAAAAAAAAACGAAAGCTTGTAAGGGCCTGTCGTTGTCGTATTTTTCGTAAAAAATAAATACACACCCTGTTTTTTTATTGTAGCCCCTCCCCCCTCTTGACACAGCAAACAGACAGTTAGAGCATTCCTGTAATGCTCCCCAGGGGCCTGGGACAGCTGCTGCTGGCCAGAACAGACAGGGATTGTTGTCCTGACATGGCTTCGCCCCCCCTCAGTTTATATCGTAATTAGCCCTTATTGACCAGAGTGGGGTGTGGAGGCTGTCAGCGGGGGCACATCCAGGAAAACATGAGCAAAACGATCTTACACTGCCGCGCAAACTTAGGAATCCACTTAGAAAATTCTTTATTTTTAGCTGCCCGATCCGTGTGGTAAACAAGCGAGGTTGTCGCCCGCACGTCAAGCCGGCGCTGTCAAAATGGGCAAAGCCGGGCGGTGCAGCGCGGCACGCGGGCCACGTGGCCCCCGCTCGGCCTTATATGGCTATGAGGGGCTCCATCGGGCGTCCTGCCGGTCGAGTTTCGAGTCTACTTTGGCTTGACACCGGGGCGATTCTTAGAAACCCATCCCCTTTACGAATAGAGTCCAGCTATATTTAAAATACTTCTCACTGGCAATTGTGTTTCCGTGAGAGCTTGGGGCCATATTATTATAAGTTTCATTCGTATATAGCAGTGCTTTTGTCTCCGATTATTTACCGTTGAAACTTTAATCTGGGCGTACCATGCACTCGTTATCGTCGCAGACCGTTTAACCAAAATACGGACAGTTTTGCACTAACCCAAACCCAGGCAACGCAGCGTGCTTTAACCACATCCTGAAACAGCTCATTTCTTAAATTACATATCTTAATCCTCGGAACCAAACCTCATCCTCATCGATTTCACATTGAAATATTAAGTTCTTTTCAAATGAGTTATATCAGATTGCACAAATAATCAATACTTCTTAGACCAACGATTACATATGTGTAGCTGCAACGTTTCTACTAAAACAGACCGTCTTCATGACCTGCTTTTGTTTCGTTGCCTACGGAAGCAGGAGGTCAAGGGCATCCGGTTAAACGTCTAGTTGATATAACAAAGACCACAAGATGCGTGCTTTCATGGTCGTTTGTATTTCAACCGATAACACAACATTTTTACATTTATCCATCTCAGATGCCACATATTTCGGTACTCTGTCAAACTACGATGGTAGAGTGGTTACTTGTACAACAGACAGTCTTAACCGAAACCATTCCATATGAATATTAGATTTTGTACCAATTTCATGGCTTAAATCCTTTTTGTTTCTATAAACAAGACACCCTGCAGTTAAATTATGTAACGCTAGGGCTGACGTTACATTCTGAAGGACTACGATCTGGCGTCGCAATGGGGGGAACCGTTAAGTCTACACTCATTGGAAAAATAATAAGCAGCATCCAAAATATTCTAGTCCTTAATAAATCGTATTTTTCAGTTTTTAAATATGTATTATGTGTGACTCATATCATTTTATTAATTACCGTGATAATAATGGATGTAGTAATTCACGCCCCATCCCTGCTCAGAATGGTATGATCCGGATTATGCGTCACCCATTGTTTACAAATCAAGCCCGAGGAGTTGCCTTCCGTCGGACAGCGTGGTGAGAGTAGGGGGGCAGATTTTTCCACCCCATTCATTTTTAAAAATAAACGGCAGACTCTTGAAAGGACGTGGACATGCCGTATCGGAAGGAGAAATACATTTTCCTGGAGCAGTCGGTAACGGTGGATTCGAAGGAGGTAGACGCGCTGGTTACGAAGATCGGCGAGGCTCTGCAGCTGCATAACAATGCTGGTGCGAACCCGAAGGCGGCGTCATGTTTCCACGGTCTGAACGGCACCGGTACCGGTACCGGCACCGGAAGCGTTACGCAGTCCAACAGCAACAACAACAACAACAGCGCAGCGTTGCACAGGCGGACCGGCTGCTGTGTCCGGCTCCGGAACCGGGGACTACGGAGCCGGGCCAGTCCATACACTTTACCCGGGTCTAGTGATCAGGAGTGGGACCGCTTAAGGACCTGGAACCGTAAGGGGATCGATGTCCCCGGTGAGGAGGATGATCCCCATCGACTGCTTCAGGAGCTGATTTTGTCTGGGAACCTGATAAAAGAGGCCGTCCGGCGGCTGCAGTTCTCTGCGTCGGAGAGTGTGGAGCTTTCAAAGTCCGCCGACAATGTCCACTGCTGATTGGAGCCGCGGGGCCTTTAAAAAATGCCACCTTTTGTTTGAATGGACTGGATAGCGACAGGAGAAAACGTGGAGGCTTCGCAGCCTTTTCACGGAGCAATAGCTGGGTGACTCCTGGCTGCCAAGATACACGTGCTATACTGTTAACAAAGTGTAGATTATTTGTACAAGTATGAGATGATGTCCGAAACGGGTCTGTTTAAAACGAATGAACTGCCTTTACGGATGGAATTGTTTCCTGTTGCTGTCTGTCTGGGGAGACTGGAGCGACACTGGTCTTGTTTACACCGAGGGCGCCCGCAGTCTACATGGCGTGTTTGTTTTGGTTCTTTTATATTTGGAATGGATTGGATTCAAGGTCTTCATGTCACCCATCAAGATGGACTTTAAGGAGTCATGTATTTGTTTCAATGCACGTGGTTTTACAGTTTAGGAGCCACATCGTGTATCGATAGAGATCACAGGGGAAGTAGTATTTCCACGATTCAACGGATGTTTCTTCGAAATGGGAGGCGCCCGGGAGGGGGCGGTGCTGTGGAGGGGGGCGGGGGGTGACTGTAAAGCAGGGGGTTTTTGGTGCTCAGACAATTCGAACCGAATCCCGTCCTGGGCTTCGGCTGGGTTTGATTTGCACCATGTAAAGTACCGACTGGGTTATGTACGCTTCGCAACGAAGTATATTTTTAAAAACACGTTTCCTGGTTCTTCAGGACGTCGGTGTCTTAAATAAACGGTGTTTTGCAATATCCCTTTTGGGCGTTTTTGTTTTGATTCAAAACGTTCGACTACCAAAGTGTCACGTCACTAAATAGAGCACCCACAATTTTCTAAAATATTTTATCTTTCTCAGGTCAAAGTTGCCTATTAAGTTAAGAGCAACCTATATCCATATTTATTGTAATTTTTTTCATGTAAATTTTTATGCATTCAACACAACTGAACTCTTCCAAGCAAATATTCTTAAGAAAAGAATATCTCGATATTCCTATCGAGATTCGTTATTCAACGTTAACACTTGATGAATTTGTAAAAATGCATATTTATAGTAAAGTGTTTTTCATCTTACAACTCTACGATTTGACAGTCCACCTTTTTATCACTTGACATGAACAGTGTGAAATTTTACCTAGCGTCAATTCATTTTAAAATAGTTTAGAGGTAATGACTGTTTAAAAAGTGTATCGGAATAAACATGAACTCCGTTTACCATTAGCGTTATGCTCGAGTTACAAGATGCATATATATTTTTGGAATTAACCTCTTCATGGTTTTATGTGAGGTTTCATTAAAGTATAGGGTAGCTTACCCTTTTATCACAAATATAAAGATGAGTTTACTTTAAAAATAACGCCTGGCAACAAATATATTCTGTATTCAATTATAGCCAAATTTATAATATTAATAACCACAATCCCAGTTTGTGACCATAGACTTGCTCAAGGATAAATGGATTAAATGTGGAATATCATGTGAAATGAGACAATTTACAATTATTGAGCAGACTCTTTTATCCAGAACCACATACAATTGAAAAAGCAGCGATAACCAATCCCTGGAGCAGCTGGGATTGAGGCCATGCTCAATGACCCAACTGCAAAATCACTATGCTGACAGGACGTGAACTGTCACCCTGTCACTTACAAGCACAGTATCCTAACCCCCCTAGACAGACACTTCCTCACAGACCTGGCTCTGGAGACAAGTGGCCAATTAACATTGCATCATGCTTACGGTCCTATGAAAAAATGGAGCAGAACCACCCGTCCATTAATTTAAGCTCAGAAGAAGAGATCACAGCGGCCCTCAGAGAGAGGTGGTTGTTAGAGCAGGTGTGGCTGGTGTTTCAGTGATGATTACTGTTCAGCCTGTGGATGGTCCGTGTGGGTCAGTGAAAGAGACGGTGCTGGCTTGTAAATCTAAAGGGCGGTGGGGGAGGAAAGCACATGCCCTGGCCGTAATGTCCGGTGATTGGTTGACGTGCAGAACAGTGAACGACATGATGAGCTTTGTGAACACGAGTGCACTAGGTTAGGTTAGTCATAACCTAGTGTGTGAACACGAGTGCACTAGGTTAGGTTAGTCATAACCTAGTGTGAAGTGGAAAAAGAACAAGCTGCACTACACAATTCTGAACAAGCACTCAGGTATCTGCAACACAAAAAGAAGACCACAGGCTTCATGGTTTGTGTCTGAGAGTCAGGGGATTTGGCAGCTCTGTTACGATGCTGATTAAACTTTCTCGACATTATATGATACCGACTCACTCAGCCCCTGAGAGGCCAAAGTAAGTATAAATAAATAGGAATCTATTCTGAGATATCCTGTTCATTCTATAATTCAGCATTTCTAGGCCAATGGGTGTCTTTCGGGATGACAATGCTGCCACCCATAGGACAGAAGTGGTCAATGAATTTTTTTTGGTGACTGTCTAAACCAGTGTTTCCCAACCTGGCTATCTGGGACGCACAGACAGTCTACATTTTTGCCAGGATGAGGCCAGGATGGGAAACACAGGTCTAAACCATGTGCCACAGTCATACAGGTCATTAGATCTCAGCGGAGCTGAACACTTCAGATATTGTTGAGTAACTGTTTTCCATCACCAAATATTTGACTTTTTCACAGTAGAGCAACATCACATCCTTCCAACTTCTGGCACATGCTGTTTACCAATTTCTCTCACACAGCCCCTGTTGGTCCAATACCTTGTTATGACACTTCTGGTTTGGTGTTTCTTTCTCTGACGGATGTTATGTATAGATTGCAATGAAGTAGCGGTCTTAAGAAATCCATTGAACATTTTGTGACCATTCTAAAGTACTGTCCATCATGTCTAATGGCTTGGTGTAAGTTGTCCAACTGCATTCTCACATCACAGGAAATCCAAACGCATACTTGTCCATAAGCTACGGTCACATTTGGAAACTGGAGTCTGCACTTATAGTATTTAAAACAAAAAGATTGCAGTGGGTTAACATGGGGTTCCCCAAATTTGATCCTGGAGGCCAGAATGCAGCACAGTTTGCAGATTTCCCTGCTCAAACACACACCAGTCAGCTAATCTCTGGGTTTAGTAGGTGTGTTTGAGCAGGGAAATCTGCAGTCTGTGCTGCATTCTGGCCTCCGGGACCAGAATTGGGGAACCCTGGGCTTCAGATTGAAGGCATCTAAATTCATCTAGTTTATTACTCTTATGCTTAATTACTGAGCAACATGAATGAGCACTAAAAATATGCAAAGACTCTTCAAGTAATGCTTGTAGTTGTTTGGTTAATGTTGATATTCAGAGAACAGTACAACTGAGACGAGGAATGAGAGATGATGTGCATCATTAAAACGAAGGTCACTGGGATGTTAAAAGGACCAATAAGAAGCTCACTGGTAATATAGATGGCTTCATTACACCATTTAATTTTAGGCACTGTAATTGTATATGTAATTCACATATATATTACATATTTCACAGCGTATCCTTGCCTTCTGATTTGATGATGTAATTAGTTGCTGTGGGTTTTAATGCTTTCTATTTGCGCATGGACTGCTTTTAGTTTAATGCTTGCCAATATATGTAAATGTAAATATAAATTTAAGTTTAACATGGGGTTTAAAGCTTTGTTTTCTTAAAAGGTCCTCCCAGTATACAAGGGAAGACCTGGCATAGGAGAGTGAAATTTTTGGAAAACAATACATGATACCAGCAGATGCATCATCTTTACACAACACTGCCCCCAGTTATTATTAGAAATTAAATGATGGCGCGAGGAGTAGTTTCTTACGTTTTCTGGACCTGCCAATTAATAGCGGTAGTAAGCGTACAGTATGGTAGATGCGTTGAAATTGTCGGCACCACCCCAAATTGAACAGCAGAGGTCAGCATAACTATTGCAAAGCACTTAATCTTTTGAGGATTTCTGCGCAAGTAGAATAAGGTTGGTCAACTCTCACGCATATGGCGTGACACTCACGCTCTCTGACTCTCATGTTCACGCAAGAAATCTTACGGCAAATCTATATCATTCCATTATGTATATATATATATATATCCTAAAATGAGCTACATCATTAGCGCTGGGGTGTTTTGCAAACCCTATAAGGACTATTTACATAAATAGTCCTTATATTTATATTTAATAAAACTGTTACTTACATGTAAATGGGTGTGCAGACTTGCCTCGAATTGAAAATCCTACTCCAACCAGCTGACCGAAGTTGGCAACAGTAGAATCCACCAGTAAACCAATCTGTTCATGACAAGTAATAAACTTTATTTTTTTTGTAGATTCTCTATATACTATAATGATTAAAATTTGAGTGGGAAATACACTCATGAATGCCCTTGACTTCCCAGATTTAGTATTCATATTTAATGTCCATTCTGCTATGCATGATGAAAAAATCGGCCATGAAGCTAACTGAGGCGTCATACTCAGGCTTAGATTCGTCAGCTGCATGCCGTGTGTTTCAAGCCTGTCTGACTGCTTTCGGATGCGCTTTATACGACGACACCGCTGCCACGCCAGAAAGTCACCCAGCATGGCTTTCCCGCATCCGAAAATGTTTCATATTCATGTGATATTCAAGCCCAATAAGCCAGTTTATCAACAGGCACCGGATCGGTAGCGGTGTTTTAATAATTTCGCGGACCTTGATGCAGGTGGCTTATTAAATAAATATACAAAATGACATGTATTTGAAATAATTCGTTAAATCTGACACGATTTTCCCGATTCTGACAAGGCCTGCTCTGGCTGTGCTGACTCACGGCATTACGAGGAGAAATTGGGTTATTATTGGAAAACGAAGGGTTTTAAGAATGGATATTGCAAGATTAATCAGTGACGCAGCATAATCCTTCTTATAAAAGCAAATCGAAGATAGACCAAGTCGTCTTTTATCCTCACAGAATAAATTCTCGCAAAGCATGTAGACCTTACATCGCACTGAACGGCCTTATGCTTAGGGACTAACGGGACCTCTTACTGCAGTCTCTATCTGAACATTGTTATCGATTCCTTTTCACAAAAGAATCAATCAATGTATGAATGAATAAATGACACTGTCAAGTCGCTTCATGAGTTTTACGCAATGACTTTCTCCTCACAGACCCAAATGTCCCAGATTTTGACCTAAATCTCCAAATTAAAACAAGGCGAGCTTTGCACACAAGCAAAGGGCTAAACGTGAAGATGCGATTTAAGCCGGAGCGGAGACGCCGCCTCCCCGTACGCTTCTCCTTAAAGGTATTACGGCGAAATCAGCGCTTCCTGATGAAACCCTAAACTTAGAGATGTTCTTTCAGTTAAAACGATGATAATCTATTTAATGTATTATAGAGTGTTATAGTTGGTCTATAGCCATGAATGATATTCATTGTTTACATGGGAAAACCCAATTAATAATAAAATATGAATTATTAAAATATTTTCATTAAGAGATATAAGACAAAACTGTAATCTATACAGTTGTAAACAGACACGCGTTTTTTGGAGCAGTGATTGCGGACTCTGTGTGGGTCCCCATGAGTTCATGGAGGAGGCTGAGGACATAATTAGTGTCTCACACGCACGCAGAAACGGAGGCAGGGCGAACTTCTGCTGCATGGCAGCGCCTGGCAGACCGCTAAAAACTGTACGGCTGTCCTCAAAAGCGGTCAAGCTACGTGACACTGCGGGATGTTTTAAACAGTTAACCCAGTAAGTGATATGTGTTATTATTGCCCCCGTAACACACCGGCGTTAGACCACAAACC